CCTCCAGCACACTCTCCATGCCCCTGAGCCTAACCAAAATCCTATGTTCTGCTTCCTGCAAGCTCCAGCGGGCCCATGCAGGTCTCTGTGTTGCCTATCCTTCAAACCCTGATACCCTGCTGGAGAACCAGAGAAAGGGAGAGAGGTGTTCGTCCGTGCCAATAATACATGAACAGGCACTCGACTATGGGCTCATGAAGCCTAATGTTGCTCTAGACTTCTGTGGTTTATGAGAGAAGTTAGTGACAATAGACAATTAAATCTGTGTAAATCCAATTTAATCAATCAATTCAATCAATTCAATTTTATTTGTATAGCGCCAATTAAATTAAACTAATAAAAGCTGGATAATGTTTACTTGTTATTTCAGAAGTTTCAATAGATAGTAAACTGGCAATCGATTTGATTTAGTCAGCATTAAATAATATACCATTATATTTGTATAAAAAATAAAGTTATGCCTAGTTCACTAATTATAATGTCATTACCAAAAGTGTTAAGTGGTAATGTTTTTTTTACTGGGAACTCTTGGCACACACTGAACTGTTTTCAGAATTCTTGCTTATTTATTTTGACTAAATGCAGAAATAAAGTACCCTACTTAAAATCTTTAAAATAAAAAAAGTCACATTGAAAACCAAAACTGGCATGCATAAGCTCTCAAAAGTTGGGTTGCTTTTATTTTGACACATAATCCCACAAGGGTCTTTCATCCTTCAAGAAGTGTACTTGCTTAACTACACCAAATTCAAATTAATATAATTACATACATCTGTGCTTAAATTTGTAACTGAAAATAAATATAAAGTCAAGCTAATCACTCTACAAGGCTTGCACAGATTCATTACATCCAGGAAAATGTGAGAACAAAATACGTACTGATAATTTTGACATTCATCAAGGCTAATCAGTAATCGGTAGGTATGTGCATCACTCAGGCCAGTGTGATATGGTTCTTGATGCATTGCCAATGATCCAATACATTAAAGATACATATACAGAAACTACTACTACTAATGTGATATGATGAAATTCACCCCATTGCAATGCAGTGTGATTCACAACGATTTGATTCAACCCACTGTGATTCAACGCAATTCAATGTGAAGCAAAGTGATATGATGCCATGCAATTTAATATGGTACAGATAGTTTGATTTCATATCTTTGGTTCTTCCACATGAAAGCACAGTTTTATTTGCTTCCACATATTTACGTGTTTGCTGTCAAAACAGGGCACAAGGGAGCAACTTGTCACGGTGAATAATAGTGAATGTGTGTTAATTGCCCCGTCCATTCAGTTATAGCGGTCCAATTAGCAGGCTGTGCCAGATTGGGAGTTCCCAGTGAACAGCATGGCCTAACCAGACTACCGAAATGTAGCAAAGGCTGGAATCGAACCTGGGCCACCCACTGTGGAAAGAACTCAGCCAATACACTCTACTGTGCGCCCCATTGTCACGATATTATTGGTTGAAATTGGTTGGTTCACGCTTATGTAAGAACACATAACCTTTTGTTCGACAGGAAGACAAACTTAATGCATTTTGATATAAGAATACAAAGAAATTGATTCTTCTTAAATTTTTGTTGTTACAAGTAAGAATGTAATCTTAAAGGTTAAAATGCATTTATCATTTCATATCGACTTTAAGCAGCTGGAGAAACAGTTTAGACAGGAGGAATCAATATAAATCTAAAATGTTATGCTTACATTTCTATATAAGAAAGGCCTTTACTAATCATTGTATATGAATAATTTGGATTTTAGGGTTCCCACAGCTACCCAGCCTGGTGTAGGATTCTATATATGGCCAGTAGCTGTCAATATATCATGGAAAGACAAACAGACTAGCCTTTGGCCCCTCTACTAGCTTGGGAAAACTTCCTGTAAGGCTAAAATTTGGAATTAATTTCATGATCTTTCCCCTCTTTCACTCACATTCAAACTCTAAATATAGATCAGCAAATGTATCTTTAAACACAGATCAGTCCAATAATTTTGCCACTGTATTCTACATTTGGTCTTTTTTCTTGAAAGCTACAGCCTTCCGCTGATGAAAATGAGGCTTGTTCTTCTTTTGATTCCACTGGCACATCAAAATATCCCTGAAAGTCGTGCGGAAGGTCTTGTTACACAGGGCATAGCACATGGGGTTGACTGTGCTGTTAACATAACACAACCAGTAGCCCAGTGCCCATAGAGTTTCTGGAATACAGTCCTGACAGAAAGTGTTGACCAGCACCATGATGTTGTATGGTAACCACGTTGTAATGAAGGCAAACAGGATGGCACTGAGTGTCCGTGCTGCTTTCTTCTCATTGGCCTTTTTTTCATTCTTGCGCTTGTTGATCTCTGTCTTGGCCTTAGAGGCAAAGCGTTTGGCCATCGCTGCATCTTTTATAGTGATGGCTGCAGGTGATTGGTCCGCAAGTGATGAGGTGACAGGGTTTGACTGTGACCCTTTTCTACTTTTGTTGGATGATGATGTTTGCTTGTCCTTGTTTTTCTTCACCTTTCTAAATTTCTTATCATCTAGAGAGACAGACAGACAGACAGACAGACAGACAGATTAGTTATTATTTGTATTCTTTTTACATATAATGAAAACAAGAGCACTTATATCCAACCTGTAGGAGGGCTGGGTGGGCCTGAACTGTCAGCTTCCTCCTCTAAACCTGACTGGTCCTCAAAGGCGCCACCTTTATTGTTGTTCAAGCTGTCACAGCTGCTCTGCTCTGCCTCGCTCACTGTAGTTGTCGTTTTGATGGACCTCTTGGATGGCAACAGTGATAAAAACTGGAAGTAGAAGCCGCCACACGTCCCTCTGCTTCTCATTCCTCCTGGTATGCTGGCATTGTCATGGTTGTTCTTCTCTGAAGCCACCTGATTTAGTTCACAGCTGCTACAGCTTTGGGAGCTCATTTGGCGTTGCATAGCTGACGAATCCTTCTGGCTGTTACTCACTCCTAGTCCACCAGCTCTTCCACTACCACTTCCTTGATTCTGAGCCAGGCTTGGGCTGTTGCCCAACCCAGATCCCTTGAGACATTGTATATCTTTAGCACGCTTCTCTGTCTCCTGATAGATCTTCCAAAACAAAACTGCCATAATAGTTACTGGCAAATAAAATGCAGCAATAGCAGTGCAGAATGTAATGATTGGTTCGGACAGGAACTGGATGTAGCACTCATTAGGCTGGACTGTCCGCTCACCCACAATATACTGCCAGAACAGGATGGCTGGTGCCCAGAGAATGAAAGAGATAGACCAGGCTAATCCAATCATGGTCATGGCCCGCTTGGTTGTACGCTTGGCCCGGTAGGTCAAAGGTCTGGTCACAGAGAAATACCTAAGAAACACATAAAAAAAGTAGGCAACTGTACACAAACTGTTTACCTGTAACTGCATTACTGTCTACAACATTGTCTTTCTTGCAACCCAGTCTTCTTGATAGTACCACTAACAGTATTTTTTATTAAAGATTCTACACAAAGGACTTTAAATACGCCCTGATTCCCATGGCTTTTGACATGAGGCCATAATGATACCACATGGAAATGTATGTTTTTTGTGATTTGGATACTCTGAGCCATTCAATGCGAACACTCATTAGAAAATGTACCTTTACTAAGTAATCAGAAGAACCCCATACTATAAACCCTTTATTATAAAGGTTTTTCATGAAGGTAGTATCAACAATATATGATTTAGGCATTTTTAAGTTATCAACACAAATTATAAGAAATAATTTTCTGCTACCTGTCAAAGCTGATAACAAGCAGATTCATGACTGAGGCGTTACTGGCCACGTAGTCTATTGCAAGCCACAAGTCACAGACCACTGGCCCCAGAGCCCACTGGTCCATTATGATGTAGGTGGTATACAGGTTCATTGACAGTGTGCCAATGGTCAGGTCAGCAAATGCTAGACTAAGCAGGTAGTAGTTGTTCACTGTCTTCAGTGCCTTATTGAT